GATGGCTTATTTCAAAATTAAGATACTAAGATTCTACGTTTTTCCAGTATTTTTTCCAACTCCTGTATATAAAAATAATTCATGTTTGCATAAGATTTAGATAAAAACATAGATGAACAAAAAAGATTGATAATGATAAGGGGGAGAATGAGAAGATACAGGCAAAGTGTGAAAGAAGAGCAGGCATTTGAAATGATGGATAGGTTTAGTTGTCAACACCGATAGAAATATCACGTGTTTGTTTAGTTAACACTGATGCTGCTGTAGACGTACTTCCACGTTGTCAGAAACTTACATTGCCTGTCGTATTGAAGGCACTGTGACGTGTCAGTCATTTGCGTTTTTGTTAAGAACTAATTAGCATTTAGTGCTGTTTGCCAACCAGCTTAGACATATAGCATTATATAATACGACTTGCTTTGTTACATATTTCTATTATATTCTGTGTGTTGGATGTTATTTAGCTTAAGAGTCAGAAATAACTTCGTTAGAAATTAAAAAAAAAGAGGAATAAAAATGTATTGAGCTGTTACGTGATATCTGTTCTCCTATATGGCAGTGAATGTGGGACGATCTCATCAAGGATGAGGAAGAGGCTTGAGGCAACAGAAATGTGCCACTATAGAAGATACCATGGAATGAACATGTGAGCAACGACTAGGATTTAGAGAAAATGGGAACAAAAAAGAGATCTTATACTTAAAATCAGGAAGAGACTTTTGAAATTTCTAGGGCACATAATGAGGGCTTGGAAAATTTGGTACTTACAGGACAGATTGAAGGAAAAAGGGACAGAGGAAAGCAACGTGTAACATACTTGACAAGCTTGAGAAAATCGATGGTGGAGAGGGTTTAAGAGAAGGAAAAGACAACATTTATTAAGAGCTATTTGCGGAGAATCATGAAGTCCTGAGAGGACACGGCACATAAAGAAGAAGTCCTGAAGAGTATCAGATTGAAACCAAAATGGCGTCCAGTGTCTTTATTTCCGTTAAACGGCAATTTACTATTAAAAAGAAACGATCCAGTACAACCAGGCAATGCAGCATTGAAAGTGTTAATTTGAATATTAAGTTGAGTTAGAAAGTAATTTCCATTTTAGTTTATCGGATTTATTCTTCAAAAATAAAAATAAAAATTAATAATTCCATTTTATTTAATGTATAATTAAATAAAATGGAATTATTAATTTTTATTTACCCCCAAAAACGGGAACTTTTTAACAATCCAATAAAACCAAGAGTGATGGAAGAAAATATTTTGTTCATAGCAATTGAAACCTTAAAACATGCCATTTAAGAAACAATGATGGAATTTTCATTTTTAAAAAATTACGTCCTGTAGTTGGCGTCCTCCTGTACGAATGCATTCTTGAAATCTGCTGTTGAGATTACTCATTGACTGCTGCAACATCTCAGCTGAGATACTGTAAATTTCATCTTGAAATGTTTACTTGCTCAAGCTCACTGTCTTGCAGTGTTGCTACTTGCTCGTGTCTGGCAATACGCACTTCAAAAATTCCCATTTTTTGGGGTCACCCTGTATAATCACCATTATTCGCAATGTCGTCATGCAACTTTTCAGGCAGCTCTCCGATACCTTTTCAGTAATATTCCGAGGGTTTTGATGAAAAAAAAACAAACATTTTTGACCACTCTTCAGTGTGATTTTCATTAGAGAAAGCCTTTTCTCATCAAAGCGTTTAGCAGTGATGAAAAAAGGTAACAATTGATTCAGTTGAATATGGCGTGTGGTGTTAGAACAGACCAATCGAGTCCTAAAATTTATTTCCTATGTTATTCTTAGTGTGTGCGGCGTTGCGTAGTCGTAGAGAAGAACAGCATTTTTTCCTTTACTCCACTGTGTACGCTACCACTACCGTCCAAAACTAAGCTCTGTCAGTGTACATCAAATATATTCTCAAATGTCATATACGATTAGAAGTAAAGATGATACATTCGTTATAACATCTAATTCCCCAAAAGAGAAATTATTACTCAATTTAATACTATATTGGCCAGAAAGTCCTGACTCACTTAGAAAGCGGAAAAATTTTTTTCAAGGAGTACTGCATTTCGACCTTGTTCCAAACGGTCGCGTGATCAACGCTAAACTGTATTTGCCAGCAGCTAGACCGCGTGTACGAGAAGTAAATAAGAAGTATCCTGCTTTGGCCAGTCGAGGTCGAGCTTTGTTTCAGCAAGATAATGCGAGGCTACACACTGACAGGTTGACGAAGTAGATGTTCAAACATATGCACGGTGTTGAGACTCTTCCACATCCACCATTCATTCGCGATGCTGCTCCGAGTGACTATAGCCTATTCTGCTAAATGGCATACTTCCTTCGCCATCAGCGATTCAACGCTTTTGCTGAAGTGAAGGAAGCTTGTTTACAGTTTTTTTATTCAAAGCCAACGGACGGGTATCTGGGACAGATTCGGATGCTGGTTGATCGCTGGAAGATCGTAGAGAATGATAGACTTTATTAAACTTAGAATATTGCTGCCGCATATGGCGAAGAGCTCCTGCTATCTATGTAGAACTCCTTGATAAAACACAAAGAAGAATCAGCAATATTATTGGTTCTGATCTGGCTTCTCGGCTTCAGTTATTTTCCTACCACCGTAATGTAACTTCCCTGTACTTTTCTATAAATACTTTCATTTTAATTGTTCGAGTGAACTCTTCGCTATGGTACCTAGATATTTTGAATTCAAGCACGACACTAGATTGGTGCCGAGGTTTCGTCAGTTTAGGGCTGAGATAGCTAGATGTAACCGTAAGTTCTATGCTGAAAGTTTCTTTTCTCGCACTTCTCACTTGTAGGATCGTTTCCGGTTCTGTTTTCCAGCCAACTTTGGTCTTCAAAAATTTAAATGAATGTTAATCGCTATCTACTGTCCTCTCGATTACACTTCTTTTGTTATAGCTCCTTGGTAGTGTTTCTGTTTTCTAATACATACCCGCCAAGTAACCCGTTGTGTCTTAGTGGCTTTACTTCCTTGAATCGCTTGATTTTGACTAAAAAAAGCAAAAAAAAGATGCTCTGGAACCGAGGACCCTATTCGAGCGAGAAGATTGGATCTGTTATTTGTAGTAAACATGAGAAAAAAGGACCTACTAGATCGTCTGATGCCACTGTTCCAGTGAACGGCAAATAAGACACAAACAAGCACAAGCTGTAAAAGTACCAGAACTTTACCCCGGAGCGTGAAAGCTATGGAGCTTGATATCTCTAGTTATCACGGGGGTTAAATATACCACCAAACCCCTACATCAAGAAAATTGGAATAAAGCCTAGTATCACATCGCTTGAGAAGACTGCGTTGCTTAGAAACTTCGAATGTTCTGCGAAAGTGGCTGAGGTCGTATTTGATGGAGAACATCCATAGGGCAAGATCTCTGGTTGAAATCAGTACTATAAAAGATAATAATAATAATAATAATAATAATGCACTTTTCAAGAAACAGCTTAATATACCTGTAAACCTACCAGCAAAAAGAAAAGCGAATGCCTTCTATGCCAAACGAATAAAACAGAAGGCAAAACAATTTGGCCAAATGAAATTCAAAAATCAAAAATCAAAAAAAAAAAGAAAAGAAAAAAAGAAAGAAAATGGGAGGACAATGTGTTGCATGGCAAATACATAAAAAGAACGAAGGAAGCAGATGCGGACCAACAAAAAAAAAACATATCAGTGGCTGAGAAGCACTGGGTTGAAAGCTGAGAGAGAAGGCCTAATTATTGCAGTTCAGGACCAAAGCCTCGCAAACAGATCCTGTTGCTGTCACACGATCAAGGATGGAACTAACCCGAAATGCAGGATCTGCGGAAAATATGATGAAACTGTCGACCATAATATCCCAGGATGCCTGGAATTGGCTAAAAATGAATATACCCACAGATATAACAAGGTAGCAACATATGTACACTGGACGATATACAAGAAGCACAAAATCGAAACCACTGAGAGATAATATGAACAACCAGACACAGTTACCGAAAATAACGATGTAACTATCATCTGGGACATTCCAATTCAAACTAACAGGGAAATAAAAACCAACAGATCTGGTATTATCATAAAAGACGGGAAATTCAGTTAAGTGTATGCTTATTAACATAACAGTACTATCTGAGAGAAACAACGCCATGAAAATGATCGAGAAATTGTCCAAATACAAGTACCAGTTGACCGAGACTTATAGAATGAGAGGAATAAAGACTGAGACTGTACCAAAAGTAATCGGAGCTCTGGGTCTTGTGAGAAAAGAAATAAACAATTTTACTAACAGTGTCTCAGGTAGCATCAACATACAAGTTGCCCAAAAGATCGCCCTACTAGGAACATCCCATATACTAAGAAAAGTGCTATCAAATGACAATTCTCCTATAGGGCCTAAGGACCATAGTTTGGACCTGGCTCTACAGGACACAAAGCAGGAAACATAACATATAATAATAATAATAATAATAATAATAATAATAATAATAATAATACTTTTGCCAATTTTTCTATCTTCCTCATATTTTTATAATTAATTTTTTCTCTGTTGCTCTTTTCATCTTGCCTCTCTTCTCGTTCTTTTTTACTTTTAAAATTATTATCATTATTATTATTATCATTATTATTACTGTTGTTTGTTGTTGTAATAGAAATAGTAGTAGCAGTTGTAGTCGCAGGATTAATTGTCTTTCCTTGCATGACTACGTTTTTCATTTATTGGCAGTCACACTTTTTCATTAATTTTGATGTACTTGTCAGATTTTCCCAGATGAGTGAGGAAAAAAGTTAAGGCTAAAAAATATCTCGTGAATAATACAGGCAAAAAATATATTTAAAAAAAATACCAAAAAAATACGGAACCCAACAGAGTCACCGTCAAGTTTTGCTTGAATGGACGTCCGGAGAAGAGGGCGGCCGAGAAAGCTATCGACGTAATATCAGTTGTGATACTCGTGGCCGAAAATGAATTAAACGTTGAATTGGATTCGTTATGTCTTATTGTCGCCTGCTGTCTTCTCTTCCTGTCCCGTTCTCTCTTACAAAGTCGTTGTCTCTTTCGCTTTCTCATCCACGGTCCCCTCTAAAAATGATTCACCACTATTTTCTCCTTCTCTTTTACTTTCTCCCATTTTCTGAATTGCTCACCCACACTCTTCTTTCTGTCATTTTCTCGCTCAGAATTTTCTCTCACCCTTTCTCTCTTTCTCTCTCATACTCTCCCTTTATTTCTATTTTTCTCAATTTCATACACACCGTAATTTCTCCCTTTCTCTTTTATTTTATCATCTTCTTTCTCCCTACTCACTCTCTTTCTTCCCATTTTAGCTTCTGATCTACTGTCACAGCTCTCAATCTCTTCCTCTCTCTCGTAATTTATTTTAGACCGTTCTTTCTTTCTTTCTTTCTTTCTTTCTTTCTTTCTTTTTTTCTTTCTTTCTCGCGTATTGGTTCCTTTTTTTTCTCTTTCAATTTCTGGCCTACTGTGTTTGTTCTTTCTTTCTCTTTACCATTTTTTTTTACAAAGGCATTCCTTTCTTTGTCTCAATTTTTCCACTGATGTCTACTTTCCTTATCAATTTTCCCACCCTTTAGATCAAATTATTCCCACTATTTTCTCCTCACTCCTTTGCTTTTCTCTCTCGTTCGTTTCGATTTATTACCTACGATTTTGTCTCTTTCTTACTTTTTTATCTTCTTAATTGTCACCCATTGATTCTTTCACTTCATCTATCTCAGTTTATCGATCAAAGTGTTTCTTTCTCACTGTCTATTCGCACTGTCTTTTTCTCCCAATTTTTCTTCCAATATCTTACTCTCTTTGTCACTATTTTTTACCCAGTCTTTTCTTCTAATTCATCAGCCATTGTCTATTCACCACCATTTTTTTCTTCAATTTCTTATCTACTCTTTTCTCTCTTTCTTTCTTTCTTTCTCTCTCTCTGTCTCTTTCACTCTCAATTTCTCGCCCGCTGTCTTTTTCCTTACTTAAGGGTTTGTATCTCTCTAACTGTTTCTCTTTCTCTTTACAACCCATTGACTTCTTTCTGTCTCTTTCAGCTTGCTGACTAGTTTTTTCTTCGTCGACTTCCTCTTTTCTGATCCCTCTTTCGATTTCTCACCCACGCCTCTCTCTCACTCTCTCAAATTCTCACGCGTTTCTCAAATTCTTATGTTTTTCTCAAAATCTCAAGTTTTTTCCCCAAATTCTCACGTTTTCCCCCCAAATTCTGATGCTTTTCTCAAATTCTCACGTTTCCTTCATCTATTTCTCCATTTATTAGCTAATGTCTTTCTTTTTCTCCCTAAATTTCAAATCTGTTGTTTCCGCTCTTTCTATCTAAATCTGTCATTCATTGTCTCTCACTTTTTCGCCCAGTATACTCAATATCAATTTATCACTTTCTTTTCTCCCTGCCTCTCTCTCTATCACTCTCTGTCTCTCTCTCTCTCACAGAAACACTCACAATTATTCACCTGCTATATTTCTCTCTTTTCCTTCAATTTCTCACCTCTCTCTTATCTCTTGTTCTTAACTTACCCACCACTATATTTTCACTCTCGACCATTCTTTTGTTTTTCTATATCTCTCCTTTTTGAAGATTCAATCTCTCTTTCTCCCTTACTCTCAATTTACCACCCCTGTCTTCTCTTTCTCTTTATATCTCTCAATTTACCATCCACCATATTTTCTTAGTGTCAGATTATCTCTGTCTTTTCTCACTCTCTCTCTCTCGCAATTTCTCACTCCTATTTTCTCTTTCTCTTTATATCTCTCAATTTACCATCCACCATATTTTCTTAGTGTCAGATTATCTCTGTCTTTTCTCACTCTCTCTCTCTCGCAATTTCTCACTCCTATTTTCTCTTTCTCTTTATATCTCTCAATTTACCATCCAACATATTTTCTTAGTATCAGATTATCCCTGTCTTTTCTCTCTCTCTCGCAATTTCTCACCCCTATTTTCACTTTCTCTTTATATCTCACAATTTAACATCCACCATATTTTCTTAGTATCAGATTATCCCTGTCTTTTCTCTCTCTCTCGCAATTTCTCACCCCTATTTTCACTTTCTCTTTATATCTCTCAATTTACCATCCACCATATTTTCTTAGTATCAGATTATCCCTGTCTTTTCTCTCTCTCTCGCAATTTCTCACCCCTATTTTCACTTTCTCTTTATATCTCTCAATTTACCATCCAACATATTTTCTTAGTATCAGATTATCCCTGTCTTTTCTCTCTCTCTCTCTCTCGCAATTTCTCACCCCTATTTTCTCTTTCTCTTTATATCTCTCAATTTACCATCCACCATATTTTCTTAGTATCAGATTATCCCTGTCTTTTCTCTCTCTCTCTCGCAATTTCTCACCCCCTATTTTCTCTTTCTCTTTATATCTCACAATTTAACATCCACCATATTTTCTTAGTATCAGATTATCCCTGTCTTTCTCTCTCTCTCGCAATTTCTCACCCCTATTTTCACTTTCTCTTTATATCTCTCAATTTACCATCCAACATATTTTCTTAGTATCAGATTATCCCTGTCTTTTTCTCTCTCTCTCTCGCAATTTCTCACCCCTATTTTCTCTTTCTCTTTATATCTCACAATTTAACATCCACCATATTTTCTTAGTATCAGATTATCCCTGTCTTTTTCTCTCTCTCTCGCAATTTCTCACCCCTATTTTCACTTTCTCTTTATATCTCTCAATTTACCATCCAACATATTTTCTTAGTATCAGATTATCCCTGTCTTTTCTCTCTCTCTCTCTCGCAATTTCTCACCCCTATTTTCTCTTTCTCTTTATATCTCACAATTTAACATCCACCATATTTTCTTAGTATCAGATTATCCCTGTCTTTTCTCTCTCTCTCGCAATTTCTCACCCCTATTTTCACTTTCTCTTTATATCTCTCAATTTACCATCCAACATATTTTCTTAGTATCAGATTATCCCTGTCTTTTCTCTCTCTCTCTCTCGCAATTTCTCACCCCTATTTTCTCTTTCTCTTTATATCTCACAATTTAACATCCACCATATTTTCTTAGTATCAGATTATCCCTGTCTTTTTCTCTCTCTCGCAATTTCTCACCCCTATTTTCACTTTCTCTTTATATCTCTCAATTTACCATCCAACATATTTTCTTAGTATCAGATTATCCCTGTCTTTTTTCTCTCTCTCTCTCGCAATTTCTCACCCCTATTTTCTCTTTCTCTTTATATCTCACAATTTACCATCCACCATATTTTCTTAGTATCAGATTATCCCTGTCTTTTCTCTCTCTCTCGCAATTTCTCACCCCTATTTTCACTTTCTCTTTATATCTCTCAATTTACCATCCACCATATTTTCTTAGTATCAGATTATCCCTGTCTTTTCTCTCTCTCTCGCAATTTCTCACCCCTATTTTCACTTTCTCTTTATATCTCTCAATTTACCATCAACATATTTTCTTAGTATCAGATTATCCCTGTCTTTTTCTCTCTCTCTCTCTCGCAATTTCTCACCCCTATTTTCTCTTTCTCTTTATATCTCACAATTTAACATCCACCATATTTTCTTAGTATCAGATTATCCCTGTCTTTTTCTCTCTCTCGCAATTTCTCACCCCTATTTTCACTTTCTCTTTATATCTCTCAATTTACCATCCAACATATTTTCTTAGTATCAGATTATCCCTGTCTTTTCTCTCTCTCTCTCTCAATTTCTCACCCCTATTTTCTCTTTCTCTTTATATCTCACAATTTAACATCCACCATATTTTCTTAGTATCAGATTATCCCTGTCTTTTCTCTCTCTCTCGAAATTTCTCACCCCTATTTTCACTTTCTCTTTATATCTCTCAATTTACCATCCAACATATTTTCTTAGTATCAGATTATCCCTGTCTTTTCTCTCTCTCTCTCTCGCAATTTCTCACCCCTATTTTCTCTTTCTCTTTATATCTCACAATTTAACATCCACCATATTTTCTTAGTATCAGATTATCTCTGTATTTTCTCTCTCTCTCTCTCTCGCAATTTTTTACCCCTGTTTTTACTTTCTCTTTATATCTCTCAATTTACCATCCACCATATTTTCTTAGTGTTAGATTATCCCTGTTTTTTCTCTCACTCCCTCCCTCCCTCTCGCATTCTCTCATAAAATTCTTTATCTGCTATATTTTGCCCCTGTATCTATTAATTTCTAAAGTCATCATCTCTTAATTCATTAACCACCCCCTTGCTCAGATTCTCACTCTCTATCTGTTAATTTCTTTCTCTTTCTCTCTCAATTTATCACTCGTTCCATTTTTAACTCTCTTGCCCACTTTTTCTCTCTCTCCCTATTTATTATGAAATTTTAATATTTCTCTCTCTCTATATTTTTCTTCATCTCTCACACTCTGTTGCATTTGACATGAACGATAACGTGTTCACCAATTTCTTGCGCCTTTCTTTAAATGTCGAAATGCATTTATTATTGTTGTTATTGGGTTTTTTTTTCTACATATCTGTTTGCTCCACGTTCCTTATTTTAGATATTATTATTATTATTATTATTATTATTATTAACACCCTTCTCGCCAACCCCTTTTAATTTTTTTTTCTCTTGTAGCTGTCATTGTTGTTACGATGCCAATTAGAGTTCTTGACGACACGAAGAATGACAGAAAGTAAAATGACATCATCATTGAAAATTCTTTTCTTTTTCCTTTACTCATTTTGAATTTTTCTAATTTCTGGAATATTTTTTCTATTTTCCTGTCCCGTCCCAACATTTCCCCGGCAACCAATTCGGCGACTTTTATCGACTTTTTCTTCTTTTCTATTCGACCCCACCCTACTACTTTTTAGTTTTCTTCTTCTAACAGTGCAACAGTCTACTTTTGTCATTCATCCTTATTCTTTTCAATCATACATATTTATTTTTATCATGTTTTCCTTTTTGCTCTGCTTCTTTCTTTCGTTCTTTCTTTCTTTCTTTCTTTCTTTCTTTCTTTCTTTCTTTCTTTCTTTCTTTCTTTCTGTTCATTATTTACTCTACGTGTCGATGTTCCCATTGTTTCTTTCTTTCTTTCTTTCTTTCTTTCTTTCTTTCTTTCTTTCTTTCCTTCTTTCTTTTCAGTTTTTCTTTCCCACCACCATTCCGCGTTTGTTTGTTTGTTTCTTTTTTGCCATATTACTCCCATTCATTTTCTTTCTTTCTTTCTTTCTTTCTTTCTTTCTTTCTTTCTTTCTTTCTTTCTTTCTTTCTTTCTTTCTTTCTTTCTTTCTATTTCTTCTTACTTTTTCTTCTCCCCTCCATTCCCCGTTTCTTTGTTTTTTTCTTTTTTGGTTGTCTGTTCCTTTCTATCTTTTTTGCTATATCACTCTCTTCCACTTTCTTTCTTTCTTTCTTTCTTTCTTTCTTTCTTTCTTTCTTTCTTTCTTTCTTTCTTTCTCCCATACGCTTTCCTTCTTTCTTTCTTTCCTCCGATTTTTTCTTTCTTTCTTTCTTTCTTTCTAAAAGAAAGCAAATAGTTTAATTGTTATCTTTTCTTACCCTTTTAACGATACTTAACATTTTCTTATCATTTCTTCTATTTGCTTTTCTCTCTTTTCGAATTTCTCACACGCTTTTTTTCCCTTTCTCGTTTTCTCACCCACTTTATTTTTTCTGTCTTTGATTTCCTCAACTGCTCTATTTTTTTTCTCTCTCTCAATTTCTTCCCCGCTTTTGCTTTGTCTCTCATTTTATCACCCTTTATTTTTCTCACCTAATTTTTCACTCACTATGCATCATAGTTTATGTTTGGCACATGCGTACGTCATCCAGCAAAGATTGAAATACCGGCAATAATCATGTTCTTTAAACTCGCTAAACTTTACTCCAAGACGAGACATTCTTCATCTTTTGTTATTATTAATATTAATATTCAAACTGATCCACAAATTCAGACCAGAAGTCCAGATCTCGTATTAGTAAACTACAAGAAAAGAAGGCTTCAGCGTATAGATTACACTGTCATTATAGATCGCAGAAAAGTCCGAAGGGAAATGAAAGCACAGATAAAACAACTGATGAAAGTGGGAAATGAGTGGATTACAGTTGTACCAATTGTTATCGGAGCACTAGAAGTAGCCTTGAATCGCCTACAGCTGATTTAGACAAACCTCGGACCCAGCAGTGGCTACGTAGTGCAGGGTTCTTGCTGCACAGGAACAGTGCTTGTTAACTAGAAAATATCAAACGCACATACTAAAACATTGTGTTAACCCAAAATACAGATTCTCGTATCAGGTTTCAAAGTATTGGCACCCACTAAATATAAAACCCGACATGACAGAGTTGGCCAATATCTGCACTGGAAAATATGCAACTTCTACAAGAAAGTAAACTGAAAGAAAATGGTATGAACACCACCCAGACCCAGTTACGGAGACAGGACTTGTTACAATTTTATAGGATTACACAATACACACAGACAGAACAATCAAAGTTAACCACCCCAGACATTGTTATTAGCGACTGCAAACCAAAAAATTGCCTCTTTATTGATATGACAGTCCCTGCAGACTGCAATGTATCTTTGAAGATCCTCAAAAAGCTATCAAAATACAAGGTCCTTGAAATCGAAATCTCCACAATGTGGCACATGGGAACATCAACAATCCCGTTGTAGTTGGAGCCTTCGGACTGGTTGGAAAAGATTCCAATAGGCTCATTGAAGGGATTCCTGGTTGCCCATGCCTTAAAGAAATACAAAAAAAAGTTATCATGAGTACATCCCAGAACTGACGAAGGGCTTCATCTATGTAAAATATGTGTACTTTTTTTAATTGCTGAATGAAAAATGTCATGATGCCATTCCTGACCTTAGGCCTCTGGTTGGGATCCGGAAATAAATGAGTACACACCAGAAATCAAAGGAAATAATAATAATAATAATAATAATAAAAATAATAATAATAATAATAATAATAATTGCAGTAGACTAATTGAAGGGATTTCTGGAAGTCCATGCCTCAAGAAGATACACAAAATTGTTCTGATAAGTACAGCCCACACTTTACGAAGGGCTTTATCTATGTAATTTTTTTTTTTTTTTTGTCAGTGTAAAGTGTCATGATGCCATTTCTAACCTTAGGTCCCTGGGCGGGACCCGGAAAGAAATGTGTAAACGCCAGAAATCAAAGAAAATAATAATAATAATAATAATAATAATAATAATAATAATAATAATAAACTATCAAAACAACAGGATCTTGAAGTTGAAATCTCAAAAATGACATCAATAATTCAGTTGTAGTTGGAATCCTTGGATTGTCTGCGAAATGTTCCGATAGACTCATTGAAGGGATTCTTGGTAGTCCATGCCTTAAAGATATACAGAAAATTGTAATTACAAGTACATCACTTATACATGTGAGTGATCTTAGTTTCAATTTTTTTTTTTTTTTTTTTTTTTACAAAAAGATCAGTGGAAAATGTCATGAAGGCATTTATGACCTTAGGTCTCTTGTTAGGACCCAGAAGGAAATGTATATTCAACAGAAACCAAAGGAAATAATAATAATAATAATAATAATTATTATTATTATTACTATTATTATTATTATTATTGATGTTGTTGTTGTTAATATTATTATTATTATTATTATCCTTCACCGAAGAAAGAATTGACAATGGATTGAAACTGCGAAGATCTTCACTCAAAACATTGAAATGAATTTCGTTACAGACAAATACGCATAATACAAAAAGAACGAGTAGAAGGAATTGAACTATTCAAACAAGAAGTCATTGAAGTAATGGAAGTAAAATGAGATGAATTAAATATAAGAAAATATCAGATACCGGAAATAATCGAGTATAGTACGAGATTTTAGTTGTTAAGAAAGGGTCGCACTTTGCACAGGTTTATTTTTCTGGGTTGGCTGTTAACATACATACATTTTCAGTGACCGTAGCCTGCTTTGCAGGCCTACATTATCGGTACCTTTTGGCTAATCTTAACGGTACATATAATCTCCTGTACCCTGCCTTCCATAGTCTAGCAGATTTTCATTCACCATGTGTGAAAAATCTACAAATACCGCATAACATCTATACAACCTCAGTTTCTAGCAAAATAGAATAAAACACACGCAAAAAAGAAAACTTGTGTATAGATTACTTTTTACTTAGAATGACTTGAATTATCATAACCCGAAATCTATACCTCAATTCGTAGGATAGCCTTATGTACCGATAATCCTGACAAAAACTTTATCACTGGAAAGCCAGTATCTCAATACATTGCATTCTGCAGGGACTGCCATATCAATAAACAGGGAAACGAAGATGAACACAAATATGAGATAGGAACAAATGTATTAATTCTTCCTTTATATAGAGTATTTTTTGATTTCAAGTCGCACACATAGTAGATGACGTTTTGCTCTTCATGTAGCGACGGAAGGGAAGAAACTTAGGCTACGTAGGAAGCAAGCCCAGGGTAAAGGAGCTACCGTAGTCAAGCATGAACGTAAACAAATGTACAGTATCTAAATCTTCAGTACAGTAAGTGAATTTTCTCGCCATTTTCAGATACCTTTGTAACAAAAAGAATGAAGATCATTTATTTGCTATATGTCCAGAATGATGCTTAGTATTGCTATATTTGACTACGGTAGGCCTACTAGTATTGCTCAGAAGTTGGGGTCGCATTATACACCTGCTATATGAAAAAATCAGGATTTTCACCAGAAATTTCAGGAGTCATACTAAACATGAAATAAACTTATACTCGAGTATATACGGTAAGAATAATTTTGAAAAAAAAAATGGTTTTGGAAATCTGAATGAATAATAATAATAGTAATAATAATAATAATAATAATTTTAGCAAGAATAAAACAAGTAGGATAAGAATATAAAAGAAGAAAAATTCTATACGATTATGAAATTCAAAAGAGATCCTCCTGTCCAAGCGAGAAGGCTAGATATCATCATCATCATCATCATCATCATCATCATCATCATCATCATCAAGAAGAAAGAAAGAAAGAAAGAAAGAAAGAAAGAAAGAAAGAAAGAAAGAAAAAAAAAGAAAAAAGAAAAGAAAAGAAACAGAGGGAGGGAAAAGTAAGAAAGCTGAAAGAAAGAAAGAAAGAAAGAAAGAAAGAAAGAAAGAAAGAAAGAAAAAAGAAAGAAAGAAAAAGAAAGAAAAGAAACAGAGGGGAGGAAAAAAAAAAGTGAAAAAAGAAAGAAAGAAAGAAAGAAAGAAAGAAAGAAAGAAAAGAAAGAAAGAAACAGAGGGGAGGAAAAAAGTAAGAAGCTGAAAGAAAGAAAGAAAGAAAGAAAGAAAGAAAGAAAGAAAGAGAAAAAGAAAGAAAGAAAGAAAGAAAGAAAGAAAGAAAGAAAAGAAAGAAAGAAAGAAAGAAAGAAAGAAAGAAAGAAAGAAAAAAGAAAGAAAAAAAGAAAGAAAGAAACAGAGGGGAAAAAAAAAGAAGCTGAAAGAAAGAAAGAAAGAAAGAAAGAAAGAGAAAAGAAAGAAAGAAAGAAAGAAAGAAAGAAAAAAAAAGAAAGAAAAGAAAGAAAAAAACAGAGGAGGAAAAAAAAAGAAGCTGAAAGAAAGAAAGAAAGAAAGAAAGAAAGAAAGAAAGAAAGAAAGAAAAAAGAAAGAAAGAAAAAGAAAGAAAGAAACAGAGGGGAGGAAAAAAGTAAGAAGCTGAAAGAAAGAAAGAAAGAAAGAAAGAAAGAAAAAAGAAAGAAAGAAAGAAAGAAAGAAAGAGAAAAGAAAGAAAGAAAGAAAGAAAGAAAGAAAGAAAGAAAGAAAGAAAGAAAGAAAAAGAAAGAAAGAAACAGAGGGGAGGAAAAAAGTAAGAAGCTGAAAGAAAGAAAGAAAGAAAGAAAGAAAGAAAGAGAAAAAGAAAGAAAGAAAGAAAGAAAGAAAGAAAGAAAGAAAAAGAAAGAAAGAAAAAGAAAGAAAGAAACAGAGGGGAGGAAAAAAGTAAGAAGTTGAAAGAAAGAAAGAAAGAAAGAAAGAAAGAAAGAAAGAAAGAAAGAAAGAAACTGGGGAGCGGAGAAACAGAAAAGTAAGAAGAATTGCAAAGAAAAAGGATAGAAGCTGTGGGGAGAAAGAGAAAGAAAGAAACGGAGGAGAGGGGAGGAAAAGAAAAAGGAAGAAATTGGATGGAAGAAAGAAAAAACAAATAAAGAAAGAAAGAAACGGGGGAAGTTAGCAAAAGAAAAGATAAAACGAAATGAAAAGAAAGAACGATAGAAAAAGAGGGGAGGAAAAATAAATAAATAAATAAAGAGGATCGGTGAATGGTATTGTGCTAGCAGAATACACAATGTGAATAAAAGGTAAGAATATATAGGTCACCCCCCCCCCAAAAAAAAATGAAAAAATCCTCACAGAATGTAAAACGAGAGACTGCATCCATCACTATCTGAATGCCTGGAATCATCACGAAGATGCTTGTAAAAACTTCATCGTTGCTCCCATGTTCGGTCTAAGGTGTTAACATCATTCTTTAGAACCAGATCAATGTTGCTTCATGTCTCTTCTTCATCTTTGAAGAGATTGTCCAGAATTTACTGCCATTTAGGAGGACTGTTTACTTCGTTTGTAAATGTTTTTTTCCTGATTCTTAATACTTTTCTTATCTTTTGGAAGGCATCTTTTTGCTATTCCAATGCGCTTTCGAATTTCAGTGTCGTAGTTTCCGTTCTCTGTTAAAATACTTCCCAGATATTTAAATTGTTGTAGGCTTTCTTTAAAAGACATCCAAGAGGAAAATAAAATAAAATGGACAAAAGAATACATGAAGACTGATTTTGAACCATTCATCTCACCGAGGAATTCTTACTAGTCTCGATAGTTCAAAGCGATTGAGCGAAGGCGGTTTCGCTTTAAACCAGTAAAAATACTAAAGACAGTGATGAATTACTAAGGAGACTTCCTGTCATTTAATGTTTAGTTAATGTCAGTAGATTGAGGCTGGTGGGAAAATTCAAGGAACACAAATTAGACAGCTGTCTTATATAATTAGACAAATTATACCGGATTTTGAAAAGAAAATGGATCACTTAATCGAGGTCCTAAAATGAAATCTTGTAATTGGAAACACGATTTGTCAGTTATTGTATGTAACTGTTCCAGCAGAATAAACAGTAAAATAAATAAATTATGAAAATATCTGGCCCCTGTCAGACGGCTAAATAAAGATTTCAGCAAAATAAATATCAAAGTGGTGCCTATTCTTATTGGAGCACTGGGAACGATTTTAAAGAGTTATATGAATCGTTTGAAATCCGAGAGAAAATGTGAAACCATAATGACGACAACAACTTAAAGGTTATATCAGATTAAAAAAAAAAAAAACGGTTCTCGTACGATCACTGAAGTTAAGCAACCTCGATCCCGGTCAGTACCTAGATGGGTAACCGCTTGAGAATACCAGGTCCAGTGAGCTTGGATGTGTGAGAGGTGTAACGAATAAAGGCTCGGAATTGAAAATCTGTGAAACTAGATCTAATTGCAGTCGGGTTCGTTATATTCGCTTACACTGGAAAAGGTATGAATTTAAATCTTCTCCAACTCCACAGCTATGGGTTAATTGTACAACTTGTATCAGTAAAGCATTATTATATCCCTCCAAATTCTCACAATCTAACAAATATTTTATGGCTTTAAATAACCTGAAAAAGGTTGCTAATCCATAAAAAACAAATCAATCCAGACAACGGCATCAATGGCGATACAGAGAAGAGTGTGGAAGTACTAAGCGAATTTCGGTGAAGTATTGGATAACGGCTTGGATTGAGGAATCGGAGAGCCGAGTTCGAATTTCAGTCGAATCCATTATATTCACTAACGTGCTAATACCCTTGGGAAAGGTATGGATCCTCTACTTCTCCCCCCAGCTATGGGTAAATAGTAGGACAGATCGGGTTATATAGCCTTGGATGGAAATTGGCAATGGCAACCTACTGCGGGAAAAATCTGCCTCGTCAGTCATGTACCGAAAGATACATGATCGCCTAAGCGTGTATCACGCATGGCACATAATTGACTGACCTTCGAACGCACATAAAGTCACTGGTAGTGAACGATATGGGAGAGGCAGCCGACGAGGTGGAATCGTGAATCTATGGCTGTTTGAACTTAGGGCTGTGTGAATTTGTCACAGTTTGCTACAGATTTCCTTTTCAAAATGAGGCCTAGCCACAAATGCTTTGCATCTTAATTTCTTGTGCTTTTCAGCACGTCCTCCCTCCCACAGCATCTAGAAATGTCCTATCTTGACAAAGACAAATGTGTCATAACTTTCATGATTGATACAGGATACAAGTCGTCGAGTTAAAATCATTATACTCGTAACAGACCTGTATCGGCGTTGTTCATAATTCTTCACATTTCGGTGGTATCTACCGACCATTTGTCAATCTCAAGGTTTGTTTTCCCGTCTCCAACATGTGAGGTTATTTAAAAATCTATTTATTCGTTTAATCAACCATACAAGCGATTTCAAAACTTAAAGCTCGTGACATGGCTATTTATTTCCAGACTTCGAAATTGAGGAGATTCATGCAAATGGCTACTGTTTGTATACATCTGCGCATAACGAAGCTTCTTTCATCCTAACTGCGCAGGTACATGCTGCCATCATTAAGCAAATAAACCTTCGCATTCTAATGAATATTTTAAAAATCCACATTACATGGCTACTAATGTAAGACGTGGTGTAGAGGAGATTTGCCATCACTTAATATTGAATGAAAGCTAATGTACCGTGAAGGTTCAACGAGTCCCAATAATAACCATAATAGCCCGAGATATGATTGTTAGTTTCCTGGTTTTAACCATTTGGACATGCCTTCTAAAGGTTAATGCTCTGTGTATATCTGTACATAGGCGGGAGTAGTGGGGAAGATTCATAGCCGGGTGTCGAGAGTTTTTGCTTTTGTAAGTTTTAAGGATGTAGCGACCAAGAAGTTACATTTAGACACTTGGGAGCACCATCAGTCGGAAAACGTTTTAGCGAGCTGAGATATCCGTCCTGACGTTATTTTTTGCTGGGATATATCTTCAAGATTATGCGCCGTTTTTATCAAAAACTATCAGCACTTCTGACTGTGGTTCAGTTGCCTGGTATACGCTGATCAAAATGGATGTAATGCTGATGTATATACTAGGTTTGATTTGGGCACCTCGACGTGGTGTAATTGTTAGGAAGCTTGTCTTACTAGATCAATTACGACTGAGTAGTGAGTTCGATCCTCACTGGGTGCCCCATACCTTCGGCCTTGCGCCACATCTAAGCCGGGCTTAGAAAATCGCTATACTAGGTTTGATTTGCTTTATTCTGTTTTAAGTCATATCGACATTATCCATGCTATTTAATGCAGAATTCTGTCGTTTTGATAAACAATAGAACAAATTTAATTTACAGGAGTGGCTAAAAAAATATAGGTTTGGTTTGCACGATAACCAAAAAGGTATTGCCTAGGTTTGGTTTGCATGAGCATCTAAAACGAAATATAGGTTTGGTTTGCATGGGAACTAAAAAGGTAGGCAAAGGTTTGGTTTGCATGAGCATCTAAAAAGAAATATAGGTTTGGTTTGCATGGGAACCAAAAAGGTAGGCAAAGGTTTGGTTTGCATGAGCATCTAAAAAGAAATATAGGTTTGGTTTGCACGGGAACCAAAAAGGTAGGCAAAGGTTTGGTTTGCATGAGCATCTAAAAAGAAATATAGGTTTGGTTTGCACGGGAACCAAAAAAGGTAGGCAAATGTTTGGTTTGCATGAGCATCTAAAAAAGAAATATAGGTTTGGTTTGCATGGGGAACCAAAAAGGTAGGCAAAGGTTTGGTTTGCATGAGCATCTAAAAAGAAATATAAGTTTGGTTTGCACGGGGAACCAAAAGGTAGGCAAAAGGTTTGGTTTGCATGAGCATCTAAAAGAAATATAGGTTTGGTTTTGCACGGGAACCAAAAAGGTAGGCACAGGTTTGGTTTGCATGAGCATCTAAAAGAAATATAGGTTTGGTTTGCATGGGAACCAAAAGGTAGGCAAAGGTTTGGTTTGCATGAGCATCTAAAAAGAAATATAGGTTTGGTTTGCAGGGGAACCAAAAAGGTAGGCAAAGGTTTGGTTTGCATGAGCATCTAAAAAGAAATATAGGTTTGGTTTGCACGGGAACCAAAAAGGTAGGCACAGGTTTGGTTTGCATGAGCATCTAAAAAGAAATATAGGTTTGGTTTGCACGGGAACCAAAAAGGTAGGCACAGGTTTGGTTTGCATGAGCATCTAAAAAAGAAATATAGGTTTGGTTTGCATGGGAACCAAAAAGGTAGGCAAAGGTTTGGTTTGTATGAGCATCTAAAAGGAAATATAGGTTTGGTTTGCACGTGAACCAAAAGGATTGACAAAGGTTTGGTTTGCATGAGTAAAAAATGTAGATTTGGTTTGGACATGAGGAAAAGTATTGGCAGTTTTGCTTTGCACAGGAGTTAAAAAAATAAAGATAGGTTTGGTTTGTTAGATAGTAAAAACCCATCCCGTTTGCACGAAAGCTAAAATGATGGAAATTTGTGGAAGAGTCAAGAAGGCAAATCGATTTCATTTGGACATACTCCAAAAAGTTAGAGATGAGGTTTATTTGTAAAAGAGTCAAAAAGGAATTCCGATTTCGCTTGCACGGGGGGCTAAAAAGGTAGATATAGGTTTGTTTTGTAAAAGAGTAAAAACAGGCAGGCCGATTTGGCTTGCACAAAAGCTAATAAAATAGAGATGGGTTTGGTTTGCACGGGAATTAAAAAAAAAAGTAGATATTGGTAGAATAAATAAGTGGTCACTTTTTTGGAGGTTGTAATGTGCAGTAGTAATGACATGAAGTGAAACGATTATATTGAATCAATTGCTAGATCTAGAGCTAGGAAAGTTGGTTCACTGTGTCGTCGTAGACAAATTTCCTCGTCAGAAACTATCTTTATAAGTCTATCATTCGTCCATACATTGGAGATTGCTGTCACATCGGGTCTGGTGCTCATGCTATATACGGAAAGATTCTTGAAAATATCCAAAGAAGAATTTTCAATCATGTCGCTCCTGATTTGGTATCTCAGTTTCATTCACTTTCGCACCGCCCTAACGTAGCGTCCCTGTGCCTTTTCTATATAAAAAAAAAACTTCTCGGTAATCGTTCTGATGAACTTTGCTCTTTGGGACCACGAATTAATGAATTTAAGCGCGGTACTAGATTGGCAGCTAGGTCTCATCATTTTGCATTTGAAATTGCTAAGTTCTATGCTAACAGATTTTTTTCTCTCATTCATCTGACTTGTGGAACTCACTTCTGGCTTCTTGACTTCCAGACAACTTTGATCTTCAAAAATGTAAGTGCAATGACAATCGTTATGTTCCTAATCTTTTATTGTTTTCGCTATGTCAATCGTCATCGTCAGTCTCCTTGAATATTGTTCTTTTGTTATTTTATTTAGTCTCCTTGAATACTGTTCTTTTATAATTTCTTGTTAATAACATTTTTCTTTTTCAGGAATTTTTACTTTCAGTAACCCCTTGCATCTTAGTGGCTTTATCGTCTTGCTTAGGCTGAAATGATTAAAAAGAAGAAAAAAAAAACCCTCCATCTAGGTAAGAAGAAAAACAACGAAGAAATATTATCATGAGTTACGTCAACGAGTATTTAAATCCCACTGAGAAATAATTAAATCAGTCAAACGTCCTTTTGCGTTTCTATGATTTTGAAAAACAACACAGGATATTATGACCGTCAACGTCACTTAACGCTACAAAAGACGGGTATTTTAATACAAGAAAATAAAAAAGAAAAAACATTCATATAAATTCTCTATTGAAACTGAGTATGGGCTAAATGAGAATGTTTTTGTCCCTTTTTTCCTTCGTTCGTTAATGGTATACAAACGTCTTATCTCTCAATATCTAATCGAGTCGGAATTGAAAAGAACACCAGACTGCTCAAAACACTATTTTATATATAAGCCACCTTTGTTCAGCGGAGTTTGGTTGTTATACGAGATGAAATACCAAATTTCGTGAAATTTGGTAGTGAGCAAAATGGGCAACTTAACGTATCAGTTACACAACGGGGACATCAAAATTGTGGAGATTAAGTAGTGTTTATTTTCATGATTTCAACTGAAGCAAGTCGATATTGCCAATCTGATACAAGGGGTTGCTGAGTGGGAAAGAAGCTGATAAAAATGTTATTAAGAAGAGAGGACAATAAAAGAACGGTCTTCAAAGAGAGAGAGAGAGAGAGAGAAAATGACGACTGACATTATATTTAAATTTTTGAAGATATTAGTTGACAGGAAAGCAAGTAACTGGAAGAAATTTCTACAAATCAAGAGAATAAAACTATTAAAATAAATCTCATGGTTATATTGAGGAATTTCATCAGGAAAATGATGAGACGCAGCTGCCAATATTTTACTAGAATTAAATTTATGAAATCAAAATGCCAAACAGGAAAGCGATATGTATTTCCACTTCAATACAGAAAATGTGACACAAGGCCCAAAATAAGGAATGAGGGAAAAGGACGGTCTTCTATTTTGACTTTAAACTTAGCTAGCCACAAACACTGACCCAAACAAACCACAATATTCCTAACACCAAAACAACACATTCTTACATACCTTTGTTACTACATCCACCATAATACCTCATTGTCTTTTTGAAAATCTTAACTAGTCCCCACATGTACAATTCAAACAGGAAAACTTGTCAGAACAGTTACCATAGGCATATTTATATAAAATGCATAGGGAAGTTACATTACAGCAGTGGGAAATTGACTAAAGCTGAGATACTAGGTGAGGACACAAAAAATTGCAAATTCTTCTTTGGATTTTGTCAAAAATTGCTAGATACATAACATGAGTACCAGACCAGATTTAGCAACAATATTTAATGCTAAGTGTAAAGTTGTATTCAGAAATCCGAAGGAACATAGAGATGGCGAACGTTGTTTTACAGAGCCCGAGTAAGCTATGATGCAATCAAGCAATTACATGAGAAACGAAGATAGTCGTGTTCAAAATCGTACCTCTGTTATAAGAAGGATGATTATGATTGTTGTGACAAATAAATGGATGCGCGCTGGCTGGTGTAATGGATTTGCGGTTCGGAAAGAGAAATCGGAGAACCGAGTTCGAATTCCAGTCAAGTTTGTTACTTTTACTTGGGAAAAGCATGAATCCATTTCTTATCACCCCAGATATTGGTAAATAGCAATACATACAGTTATCTTTTGCCTTGGTTAGAAACCAGTCTAAGCGAAGGATAACTCTGAATTTAAAACAATCCTAGAGAGGGTTGAGCGCCGTCAGGCTCTTTTGTCCAAAACACACACAAGTTATACCCCTACGGCTGTAATGGTGTTCGTGGGAAGTAACTTATTATCCATGTTCGAATTACATAGTTTGAACTTCATTAAAAAAAAATGGATGGAATTAGTTGTCATATTTTTTCTCTCTCTCATCTTTCTTTCTTTCTTTCTTTCTTTTCTTTCTTTCTTTCATCCATGTACCTTTATGCGGAGTGTATAGTCTGTTGATCATGTTTTCCGTAGTTTCTGAATATGGAATCCAGTGGTCCATAATATCTTCAATATCAGAAGTTGGCAGTGTAGATTCGGAGAAAGTAGCGGCTGTTAATTCTTTAAGTCTTCGATATCAGGTTGGCAGTGAAGATAATTTGGGAGAAAAAAATAAAATGGCTACCTTTATACACGTCGCATTGAATATTTTGAGCTTTCTGATTGGTTAACCCTTCTATTGGTGAACTATAAAATGAGTCAGCTCATTTTGACTGGCTCACTAGTACATATATGTATCCAAAAACTGTAACATAGTCGTGCTTCTCCCCCAGCTACACGTTTTTGATTTTTTACGATTTCCCTTAGTAATACATATTTCAGTCTAAAATTTTCGAGTACGCTACTGCTAGCATTCCTCTGCATGTTTTGCTTGCAATATACCCTATGAGTGTTAAATTCGCCAAGCCTTATTTCCTTATTATGTGTTTCAAGAATTCAGTTGTCTCTTGGGAACAACACATTCTTTGTAGTTCCCTCATTCATCATACCGTGATATTATAAGTTTGCAGAGGAATAAGATTGATTCGTTTTCTACGGCTTATCAACCCTATGCGGCTTACTTAAAGCCAGAGAATATTATTTGATAGTAGGAATCTTTGAGATAATAATAGTTTAGTGATACAAGTCTTAATAATTAAACAATATCTGGTAGGATAAGAGGTACCAAGGGTATTTGCGCGTAAGTGAATATAACGAACCCAATGGAATTTAAAATTAGATCTTCGATAAAAAAAAATCCTAGCCATTATCCATTATAACACTTGCACATTCAAGCTTACGACACCTAGTATTGCCACGCGGTCACCCATCGAGGTACTGACCGGGCTCGACGTTGCTTAATTCCCTATTATGAATGTTTCAGTCGGCCATTTTTTTGAATTGAGGTCGAAGATTAATTTATAAACAAAAAGTACGGACATTTTCAGGACGTTTTATTCAAAGTTAATTTTTGCTAAGTTGGCAAGTATTGAGTTGTTCAACTCGGAATGGCTATTCTTGGTCAATTTGTTCAATGCTTATTCTCTAACCTTGACCAATTTGTTCAATTCTGTTTGGTAGATCAAAGCTACGTATATAAATTTCTCTTACCCTTATTTTTATTTTTATAGAAACAGCAATCCTTCAAAATAAAGGAAGTCGCTCGCAAGAGAGTCTGTCCTTGACTGTCCAGCCGAACGCTTTGCTCGCGGCCCTAAGACCGGCTAACATCAAAGCCATCTCCAAAGGTAACTCTGCAACATGTCACCTCCGCTTACTACCACTGACGTAGTATAGATAAATACTACAGTTCTTCATATTTTTTACACTCGTGTTGTTGCGTGTATCTACGTGGTTCGACAAAAGCTTAAAGAAGGATCTGTAATGTAATCGATCCTGACTCGGCATCTCGACTTCAGTAACTCTCTTACCGAGGTGATGTGGCTTCCCTCTGCCTTTTGTAAAAATATTTTCATGGCTACTACTCTGAGGAGTTTTTTTTTCCCGGTGTCCTGAAGATATGAATTTAAGCGCCCTACTAGATTGGCATCTAGGTCGCGCCCTTTCACTGTTGAAATAGCTGAATGTAAACACCAGTTCTACTCCAACAGTTTCTTTCCTCGCATTTCACACCTGTGGAACTCACTCCTGTTTCCTTCTTTCCCTGATAACAACAATTTTCAAACATTTAAATGCAACGTCAGTCGCCAACTTCTGTCTTCTTGAAAGCCGTTCATCTGTTGCCTTTTCCTCAATCCTCCCTATTCTCAGGCTTCTCTTTCAATTTCACTCTCTGGAATTTCCTGCGTACTAGTGGCATTACCGCTTTCCTTGGGGTGAAATTATCAAAAAAAAAAAAAATAAAAAAAATAAAAAACAATTAAAAAAAGTTAAAAATTTTAAAAAAAGAGAAAAAGAAGTTGTTATTTTCCAGTTTGTTCTGAATTCAACGACGCTTCGACCACAAAGGTTAGACTTCGTCACCTAATTTAAGTGACAGCGTGTATGAGGATAGAAGGAGTCGTCTTGAAGACAAAGAGAGCACCAGGCCATGGCGGCGTAATATACTCTGTCCATGGTATTATGAACATTCGTCTATAGAACCATATCTCGGCCATATGAAGTTTTTTCGTTTGTGAAGAAATTGTTCAGCATTCATAGCCATTATAAGAGATTAGACATTTCCTCCGAATTTTGATGAATAGAGCGTACAATAGAATCACACCGGAAATCGGACAAGAACAGTGCGGGTTCATGAAAGTCACTGGAACAAGGAATGCGTTATTTATGTCCAGAACATCAGAAAAAGCAATACAAGGGCAGAAGGGCGTGAACCCGTGTTTTATAGAACTGCATGGTAACCGTGACATATTTGGTAAAGATATTAGGATAATCCAGAGCATATACTAGCAACAATCCACCTCTCCTACCAAGATTCATTATTGGCGGCCACAATCTTAATAACATAAGATATGCATATGACACAGTGTTGATAGGAGACACAGAAAGGAAACTATAAGAACTCCTACAGAAGGTAATGAAGGAAAACGAGAAGAAATGACTAAATAACTGTTCAAAGGTGCAAGAAGAAAAATGCATGGTTCTCAGGAAAAGGAGCTGATAACATGCAAATTACAAATTCGAGATGCTGAAATCAAGCAATTACAAGAATTTAATTATTTAAGAAGTGGTTTAACAGAAAACGGAAAATGCTACAATGAAATCCAAAGGCACATTGGTTATGGCAAAGGTGCTTTTCAAAATGTAAGCAAACTATTAAGAAAGAGGAAAAATTACGTTAGAAACAAAGAAAAGCGTACTGAACTGTTACGTAATATCAGTCCTCCTATATGGCAGTGAATACAGGACAATATTCTCACAGGTGAAGAAGAGACCTTAAGCAACAGAAATATAGTTCGACTGAAATTCAGTTTTCCTTAGACTGATTGCTAGCCAACGCTAGAGGACCTAGATTACCTAGCTGTTTAACACATAGTTGTTGGAATGGAAAGAAGAGACGAATTCATGCTTTTCCAGGGCGCATCTGTGAAAAAGCGTAAGTGAACAGACTAGGCCGTAATTTGAACTCTCCCCTTTTCGTGTCGATATTCATTATGCGATCAACACAATCCTTCTTCAGTATGTAACGGTTTCAGAACCAATCGTTCATACCGTGTATCGTAATAACGCATGAGGAAAAGTTGTCAATGCACTTGAACTGTTGGTAAAGATGTTCGGAATAAGTTGAATATAAAATAAAACCGTATATTGCAACGTCCTGGGTAAGACGATAAACTACATCCGCGTCATGGGTATACGATAAACTACACCCGCGTCCTGGGTAAGACGAAAAACTACATCCGCATCCTGAGTAAGACGATAAACTACATCCGCGTCCTGGGTAAGACGATAAACTACATCCGCGTCCTGGGTAAGACGAAAAACTACATCCGCGTCCCGAGTAAGACGATAAACTACATCAAACAGCAAAGCTTTTTGATCAGGAGGATTTGAGGAGTGTGGAACCACCTATTAATTGGCGGTGTTCCGAGGTCTATCCTGACACGGGGTGGTAGCACCTGTTAGAGCCCCAGCTATGGGCAAATAGTTAACCCCTCTAGCGATTATAGCACTTTCTATACATTTTCGTGTTAGTAAATTGTTTTCTCTTTTAATTAGAACAATATTTTTTTAATCGAAATTATGGTCAGACCCATTACACTGAGGAGTTAATGCATTGAGCGTGTTGATTTGTAAAAGATCCCTTTTGTGTTCATATAATCTCTTATTTGAATTTCTTTAGGGTTCTCATATCTTTTCCTTGTAGAATACATTTATAATACGTTTTCAACTTTGTCATAGATTTCCCTAAAATTGTTCTTGATATATAAAAAAATTATATATCATTTTTCAATTGAATGAATGTAAGAAAAATTGATAAAAAAGTATAATGCAGTACCTTGTTAGTTGTATTTAATGAAACTTATATATATATATATATATATATATATATATATATGACAAAGTGGAAAAGTTTTCGTGTAATGCATTTCGTCCTTTAGAAACGATTTACACGACAACTTTTACACTCGGTCATAGATTTCTGGTTCTTGTATATAAAACTTTATACCGTTTTTCCTATATATATATTTATATATATATATATATATATATATATATATCGTTTTCTATATATACACCGTTTTCCTAAATATATACCGTTTTCCTATATATATATATATATATATATATATATATATATATGATTTTCGTGTATATATATATATATATATATATATATATATATTAAAATTGTATATAAATTTTTTATATGCCAAGAACAAGAAATCTATGACCGAGTCTAAAAAGTTGTCGTGTGACACGTTTCTAAAGGGCGAAATGCGTTACACGAAAACCTTTCCACTTGTCTTATATATATATATATATATATATATATAATACCACCAATTCTTGTTAATTTTAAATATAGCACAAAACATTAATCCTCGTTTATTTTAAATAAAAATAAAGACCTTAGTCCCCGTGTAATATATTGATTACGCCAGCATTGCGCTAACCACATGTTTTAATTAAAGTTTAAATTTTGTAACGGTCACTCTCTGACCAGCACCTGAAGATTGCGTTGTACATGAAACTCTGAGTCGGGATAACGGTGAGGGATATATATATATATATATGTATTTATATATATAAGGTATTAATGTTTTTTATTTATCCGAAATTGATTTTTATTAATATAAACGTTATATTTAGTCTTTGAGTAGTCATCGATTTATTTTTGCAAACACTGTAGTTCAGTATCTACCGGTTTGAGTATTCGAAAGTCTTAAGGCAGGCAGACGTTAAAATACATTGTTTAAAAACAAACATAAAAAAACCATGG